TACCGGGGAAATAAGAAAAACAACCACAGCAATTGCAACATGAGGTAACTGCAAAATTGCGCATACCAGAAAAACTGAAAACTCACAAGTGTCGGGATTTTTCCTCGAAAAACGAAACCAGAATGAGCGTCGACGTCGTGATCATGTTGGGGCGGCTTGTAAAGCAAAGTTTTGTACATCTGGCCCTCGTCCGACCGTCTGGCCGCCTTACTTGTCTCATAAAAATATTTTAGTCCCCATACCACACACTCATGACTGGCAGGTCATATATTTATAGTGCTCAAGCCAACACGACAAAAATTGCCGGCGAATTTGATTTGACATATCAATAATTTATTACAAAATTATAGTTTGCGCACAAACACCCGTAAATATTTTGCGATACACACCGGAACTGCATCAGCTCGGTCGTAATTACGTTCAAAAACTGGCCATAAAGTGTCGATAGCGTTGGCCAAAATGTGCGGGCACGTGGCGGACTCAATGAGTTGTCGAAGCGTTTCACCGACATTGCGTTGATTAAAATCGGTGTAAAAATGTTTGCAGCTTAATTTATACAGTTTTATCAAGAAACAAGAAGAACTGCATGTAATTGTAAGGGGAATCTGGATACCAAGTTTGCTTATTATAGGTGTTATATTTTTCGAGGTCCTTGACAGATTCGACTTATCTTATCATACTGATCAAAAATATAAATACTCTGTAAGCCCTTTTACCCCATTTGGGAAAAAAGGTATACAGATTGCAGATATGTGAGAAGCCCAATAATTAAAGTCCCAGACAATTGAAATACCAAATATGTACTATATTTTTTATTTCTTGGAGTATACATATATCATATGAACATTGGAGCGCATTTTCCCCCTTTGGAGTTCGAATTTTTGAAAAACCGCTTCCTATCGCTGACCTACACTGCTAAAAAGGTGTTCAAACTTCAACTTCGTAGCGTTTGCTGTTTGGGCTGTGGGTTGATCGCCAATCAGTCAGTCAGTCCAGACAAACTGTTTTATACGAACATATGTATATATGAGATTTTTATACTCTGTACATGAAATGTACAGAAGTATATTAGGTTTTGGGAGCTGAAAAATGTAACAGGCAGAAGGAGGCGTGGCAGACCCCACAAAGTATATATATTCTTGATCAGCATGAGGAGACGAGTCGATCTAGCCCTGCCTGTCTGTCTGTCCGTCTGTCCGTCCGTATGAACACCTGGATCTCAGAGACTATAAGAGATAGAGACACCAAATTTTGCACGAAGACGCGTTATGTGTGTATTCTATACGAGTTTGTTTTATTTTTTGATTTTCCCCCCCATTTTCCCCCTATGAGGGTTTTCCCTATTTTCCATTCGTATAATCGCCTATATCTCGGAGACTATAAGACCTAGGAACACCAAATTTTAGTCCCAGATGCCTTATGTGAATACGCAGAAAATGTATATTTTGGAATTCCCCTCCCTCCCCCCTCTACCCCGCAAATCGTAACTCCCGTAATTCTTGGAATTTCGAACTAAAATTTTGGAAATACCCCCAGTTAGTTATTATGTGTCCATATGCCAAATTTCATTATGATAGACCGATTTAACAAGAAGTTATAGCCATAAATATATTTGCTGATGCAGCGCTGCTCAAGCGCTGCCCGCGGCTGTTGTTGATGTTGCTGTTTGGTTGACTGCGAAAATGCTTACACAGACACGAATAGATGCGCATAGGCATACATACACTCACACAGACGCAATTGCTATGTAAATGTGCAATTATACACTTTACGTGAGTTCGAATACCGAGAGAGCTAAAATCGATCAAATTATTAAAATTTGTTTTTTCCAATTTCTATAATTATTCTCTGTATATATAGAGTTTTTCGAAGTGGGGACACCCGACTGTAGCTATTTTACTTGTTATACTCTGTACATAAAATGTACAAGAGTATATTAGGTTTGCGGGAGCTAAAAAATGTAACAGGCAGAAGGAGGCGTGGCAGACCCCACAAAGTATATATATTCTTGATCAGCATGACGAGACGAGTCGATCTAGCCCTGTCTGTCTGTCTGCCCGTCTGTCCGTATGAACACCTGGATCTCAGAGACTATAAGAGGTAGAGACACCAAACTTTGCACAAAGATGAGTTATGAGTGTACGCTGTGCAAGTGCAAGTGTATTTTGGAATTTCCCTCCCTCTCCCCTACAAATCGCGATTTTCTTCTTGGAATTTCGAACTCAAATTTTGCAAATACCCCCAGTTAGTAATTATGTATCCGTATGCCAAGTTTCATCATGATAGACCGATTTAACAAGAAGTTATAGCCATAAATATATTTGCTGCTGCAGCGCTGCTCAAGCGCTGTCCGCGGCTGTTGTAGATGTTGCTGTTTAGTTGACTGCTAACATGTTTACACAGACACGAATAGACGCGCATAAACATACATACACTCACATAGACGCAGGTGCTTTGTATATGTGCAATTATACACCCTTTACGTGAGTTCGAATACCAAAAGAATATCAAAATTTTTTTTTAATTCTCTTACTTTTTTTAATTTCTATATTTATTCTAAACATATGTACAGAGTATTTCAAAGTCGGGACACCCGACTTCAGTTTTTTTACTTGTTTTTTGTTTGTGTGCACCCCACTTCCACGATATTGTGGATTTTTTATAACGCTGTTCGTATAATCACCTTTATCTTAGAGACTATAATACCTAATTTTAGTCCCAGAGTTTCATGAAGAAAAGTCAATTTTAAAGGAATTTATACACAATTCCTATGCATATAAATGCGCAGTTTTACAGATTGCACGTGAGTTCGAATACTGAGGAGGAAAAATCGATCAGAAAATTGTTTTGCAATATAACAATTTCGATACTTTTGATATTTTTTATACCCTGTACCCGTAGGGTAAAAAGGGTATATTAGGTTTGTGCAAAGTATGTAACATGAAGAAGGAAGCATCTCCGACCCCATAAAGTATATATATTCTGAATCAGCATGACGAGGGAAATCGACCTAGACATGCCCGTTCGTCCGTCCGTCTGTCCGTCCGTCCGTCTGTCCGTCCGTCCGTCTGTCCGTCCGTTTGGATGAACGCAAGGATCTCAGAAACTATAAAAGCTAGAATAACCAAAGTTGGCATCCAGATTCTCCTAGGTCCGAGAAAGAACGAGTTTATTTTATTTTTTTTAATTCAATTCGGTCAATTCTAAGAAAACTTATTAGCAAAACAAATTCTCGCCAGTACAACCCCACCAAACTGCAGCAACAAGTTCGGTCTTCTTCTTCCTCTTTTTGCTGCTGCTATGGGCGCATATAACTCAGTGACGGAAGTTAACCTGGGTACAGGGTATTACACTGTCGGGCTTGCTCGACTGTAGCGTTCTCTCTTGTTTTTTTGATTTCCTGTCAAATACTACATAGGTTCTCGATTTGAATAACTCAAAATAAAGAGGTCAAGAGAACGTACATTGAGCTGTCATCTTAAACTGAGAGATGTTATAGTAAAGTTTATCGTGTAACTTTTAACTTGAATGGATTTTTGTGAAAATATCGAAATAATATTGAATAGGCTCCCTCGTCATGCATGTTTTCTAAGCACCCTTCTGCAAAGTGAGTAAGTGAGTAAGCTCTTAGCCCGCTGCCGGTCAATTACTGCTCGCATTGAGGCGTTATTATTAGAAATAAATCAAGTTTTGCACACCGACATCAATTGCCCGGAGTTTGGCCAGCTAGTCTGACCGCCTGTCAGACCGTCAGCCCGACGGGGGCCAACAGCTGGCAGCACTGGCTATAAAACTTGTTACCCACCAGATACAAATGTATCGGTGGACACTGGCGGTTGCCATGTTAGTAATTTGCAAAATGTATTTGTCTGGCGATAACATGAGGCAGATATGGACAGAATTAAGAGCGGGCTGTCTGGTGGGCACATGTTGCTTACACCTGAAATCTTTCAGTGGCGCTTTATACTATACAGTGGTCCACAATTAGTAAGCGCACTTTTCGGATGTTTCGGATATTTTTTATACCATCTACGAACTTATCAGTGATAAGGTGTATTCAACACTGCATTCGCCTGCGGACAAGCTGTGCCTGATGTACATATAGTATAGTGTGTCATAAGTCAGACATGAAATCCGAGCCCCACTCCATGGGGTGCCCCCAACAGGCTCGTGAGCTAATCAATGAAGAAGCTATAGCTACAGCACCGACGCATTAATTGTCTCCAGCGATGGCCGCGGCAGTTCCCGCGAGATAATATACATTAGATAAAATGTGTCGCCGCCTAGGCGTTCGTAGATAAAAACTCAAAGATACGATCCAGTCGCTGCGATAAGAGCACAAACCCCAGGAACCCAGAGCAATTCATAATTTTTACTTATTTAATTTTTGGGACTGCGTGCGCCGTTAAGCCAGACAGGCAACAGTAACAATAAAACAACAATACAACAACTATGTTTCGCAGGCGTAATACGATATGGATACCGAGAAGAGAACATGAAGTCGTTGTCCGACTCATAAATTGCTGTGCTCCAAGAACCTAACCAACGAAAGGGGGATGGAGTAGAGACTAAAAAGAAAACACAAAATTCTGGTTTTTATTTCATCGTGGCAAGAGCGCTGTATAATTTCAGTTATACTTATATTTTTTCTTCAATTTTTATGAGGAGTTGACATTTTGGTCGAGCCGAGATGGAACTGAAGCTGCAACCTCAGACGTAGTTTCTTTTCATCCGTTTCGGTCCGCTCCGAAGCGCATCCTCTGTCTTTCCAACGCATTATGATAAATCATTTTGGGCTTAGTCTCATGCTTTTTGCTAGTCGTCATTTGTTTTTACCTTAACGTCAGTTATGTGTGTGTTCCGCTGGAAAAAATATTTCGTTTCTTTGAATCCCAACCTCAATTAACCTCGTTGTGAAATAAATTCCCTTGTCATCCCATATGCTCACATTAGATTCTAATATACTACGAGTATATGATGTTTAAGAGTTAGAAGTAAACTTCTCCATAAAAAAATTTATTTATTGATATCCTAAATAAAATCGTGGCACCCGTTCAGAAAGGAATATTAAGCATTTATCAATATAAGCCTGCAAAAAGTAATACTCCATCAATAAACTAACTACTATGGCACTTAAGTAAGCAGAAAGTCATATCACTTGTGCGATCCTGTTGTCAAAGTCATTCAATATTCTTCCCAGATGTACCTGAAGTACGAATATGCAACAATAATTATGTATATTAGCAGAACTGCAAGCGAAAAGGTTTTGTTTATCAGAACTAGTAAAAATTGGAAAGACAACTTACACAGAGGCAGTACATAGAATACAAATTTGTTATATTCCATGCCATGCATTAAGGCCAGTATTATATAAAAAAGCTCCACCGTATTCACGACAAATTGCATGACCAGAAATACTATAATCAGTTCCTTTTTTTCCTAAGGGCATTGATTAATAAGTAAGAAATGCAGGGTTTCAATAATACTAAATACCCACGATCAAAGCACCTAACAGCAATGCTAGGGCACTGCCCGCTCCTATTAGGAAAGCGCTTCCCAGAATAATCGCACCACTGGTATCGGCCACTCCTGTGGACGAAAAGTCAACTTACAAATTCTACTCCAATTCCCAAGCATACCACTGTTTTTCAGCTCATACATGTTTTTGGTCACAAAACCGTAGTATGCGAGCAACCACAGAGCAGATACGATGCACCCCACCCGGAGGCTACAGCAATAGCAGCAACTGTAGACTCGCATATTGAAATCGAAATCACAGTAACAGCAAATACTTTACGTTCATCGCTATGATTGCTTCACAAATTGCTAGGCAGTAAATTGAGTTTGATATTTTTTAAACAATTACGCCACAATTGTTATTGTTTTTTATTAACGAAATATATTCCAGAGTGTGCTTGAAATTTCCAAGATCTAAAATAAGACAGAATTAAATATTAATTTCTCAGTTCAGAAACCGATCCAGAGTCTTATCGTCCAATAAGTCTCCTGTCTTCCTTATCTAAGGTATGGGAGAGGCTTGTTGCCAACCGGATTGGTGAAACCCTAAGAAACTGCGAAATCTTACCATCAGTTTGGCTTCCGAGTGGGACATGGAACCGTGGAACAGGTTCACAGACTGGCGCTGCACATCCTGCAGGCCTTTGACAAGCTTGAGTACTGCAATGCAGTATTTATTGATATGCAGCAAGCGTTTGATAGGGTCTGGCATGACGGTCTTCTGTGCAAGATTACAAAACTTCTATCCACGCCCTATTATGGTCTCCTAAGATCACACTTGGATGGAAGGCAGTTTAAGGTCTGTGTCAGGGGCACCTACTCAATCCCCTGCCATATGAGGGCTGGTGTTCCGCAAGGCAGCGTGCTTGGCCCACTGCTCTACTCGCTATATACTGCTGATCTACCTAAATCCAATGAAGAACATATGGAGGACCCCTCGAAGGCTTTAATTGCAACATATGCGGACGACATTGCGGTTCTTTATAACTCGAAAAATTACCGAGAAGCAGCAGATGGACTGCAGAGCTATCTCAATACACTGGCAGCTTGGTCACTAGATGGATTTTAAAGGTCCATCCCATGAAAACCTCTAACCCCTGCTTCACGCTGAAAATGCTAATTCCCTGCACGCCTCCTATTCAGCTTGAGGGAGTAACCCTAGAACAGCCAGCGCAAGCTGAATACCTTGGCATTACCCTAGACAAGCGTCTCACTTTGCGGCCACATCTGAAAGCTACGGTAAAAAAAATGTGGCCAAAGAATGCAACAGTTGCGATGGCTACTAAATAGAAGGAGCACTTTGCCACTTAGCTAAAAGAGCTGTCTATGCCCACTGCATAGCTGCATAGATATGGTTGTACGGTATTCAAATTTGGGGGATCACCGCAAAATCTAATTATAGGCGCATCCAGGTCCTGCAAAACCGTGCATTGCAGCAAATTGCCAACTGCCCCTGGTACGTGCGCGGCTCGACCCTTCACCGAGACCTAAACCTGTTCACCGTGGAGGAGCAGATTGGAAAAAATACAAGTAGATACAGTGACAGGCTTCTGAGTCACCGCAGTTTTCTTGCAAGAGGACTCCTTCCTGCTAGACCTTTGCGAAGACTGAAACGATTAGGTTTCTTCAAAACATTTAGATAAACATAAGTCACCATTAACTTATTAATCCTCGCGCGGAAGTGCTCGAGGTTGGGCTATTTTATATTTGTAAAAATGTATTGTTAAGGTGCTAATCTGAATGCACGGCTTCCATGCTTTGATTAAACAAAAAAAAAAGTTCTGTCCATAACAACATGAACCTATATTTCCCAAATCCTGAACAATTGATTATGCATTGTATAATCCTTTTTGGGTCCTATGCCTTATTCATAATGAATATTTCCATCTGCTCGCAACGGAACTGTCTCTTTTTTTGATTTTCTCTCCGCTCTCCCCGCTATAGAATTTTGCCAGTCCGTCCATATTTCAAAAGCTGTATTAACCAAACTTTGCACACATAATTTATATATTATCTACTTTTGTTTCAAATTTCATCTAAGGCGGTTAATTCCAAGAAAAGTTATTAGCGAAACAATTTCACTCCGGTACTACGCCCACAAACTGCAGCATCAAGTTCGCTCTTCTTCTTCTTTTTGCTTCTGCTAGGGGCGCATATAACTCAGTGACAGAACTTTGTCTGGGTAAAGGGTATTCCAGTGTCTGGCTTGCTCGACTGTAGCGTTTTTCTCTTGTTTATTTATTTATTTGTAGTTGTATATATTGTGTTTGTAATTTAAATAATTTAATTAATTTATAGTTGCCTTTCTCCAATAAGTTTTGTTTCGAAAAAAAATTTTGCCTGTAACTAAATTGAAATAAATTAGGCTGAATCATAGCTGGCCGAATGGCAAGATAAACTCCCCCATCGTATCGGAGGTGTTAATTAGATATAAGAGCTTATAAGGCTTAATTATAAAGTTTGCATTGTGTTAACTTTTGCGTAATTTAGCATAATTATATATACATATAAATGTACATTTAATAAATTATCACAATAATTCTTTCCTTAAATAAAAGAAAAAATTTGCCACATACGTGTAGATAAATGCTAGTTTGTCTCGTGAGTAGGAAAAGCTGCACATCAAATTTAGCCATTCTACCTCCTATAATTTCAACGATCCTCGGGTTCATAGGCAGACGAGCTATCAAATACATACATATATACCTTTCAATAAAACTTAACCTTGCGGCACAGAGCAAAATTACAATTACATATATGTATATATATAATATAAATACTTAATATATACATATATTATATTCGCGCAGAAGTAGTTAAATGGAGCGCCGAGGTTACGCTGATCTTCCTCCCACAACTGATCATTGAATTGGCGAATATTTGAACAGGGTTTTACAACCCAACCAGTAAGACAGCGGCCGACTCGCTAATGTGACACTAAGTCGCTGTAAGAAAATCCGATTATGACACCAATGCACACATACACAAACACACACACACACACGCTTCTAAATTAACTTCAATTTTGTGATCACAAGACAGCCCCAAAAATAAAACTAAATACCTTTAAGACTGATTGAAAAGCGGAGGCAACAACAGCAACACAAAGCAATGCGATGCATTTGGTCTGAAACCGAAAACTAGACAACCGTTCAGCTTAAATGCCCACGAACGACTCGATACGGGAAAAGAAAACGAAAAACAAAAACAAATCAAATTTCAAATACGTACGCGCATAATGCATGAAATGATGAAGGCTTTGAATGGAAACAGTCATATTACCGTGGCTGTCTTCGATAATGTCGTCACATATGACAGTTTTTCAACTGGGCCTCGACTTTGGGTTCTCGTCAGGTGTCTAATTCGAATGTCAATGCCGCTTGTAAGCCCCCAGAACTGAAATGCGCATATGTTTCGAAGTTATTAAATAATGACCCATTGCCCACGTCAGAAACGAAATAAAATACTTATGGTTCAGCTCAATCTTGTATAATTTCTTCGAGAGCACACACACGAAACAAGTCTTCGTTCATCGATTGAAGAGCAGACCATGCAGCCTCGATTGCAACTGAGGCAGAGGCTTACTTTCGATCAGGTTCGATTTGTCCGTCTGTCTGAAAGTATATGGACTGGAATATCCAAACTGGCTGTACAGATTCTTGGAGGCCCGGGAATGTACTACTAGTTTCTACTTGTTCTGATAGACTTAGACACAAATAGGTGCACATACAAGTACATGCCACCTCGATATTAATCATCATCATGTAATATTAGAAATGTAACTATTTGTTTGTTTATGGGAGTGGGTTAGGGTATTTAAGAGTTGGGTCTGCTTAACCCTAGCATTCCATTCTTGTGTGATCAATTAAGGCAATTTGGCGCATGCACTTCGGCTTTCTCGGTTTCTCCAGGTTAAAAAATACGTGTATATGCCACAATAAGTTTAAGATGCAACCTTCAATTATGCTATATTTTATAAAAGCACTTAAAAATCGATTGCCCTCTGGCACTACATATGGCTGGCAGCTCTTCTGTGGGGCCGTCATATTCTTGGGGTACACATAACAATAAAATAAAGTGCAGTTAACACATGACTTGGCGCAAATAGTGTCACATTTTGATAAATTACACTCGTTTGTCAAACAACACTATGAAGACAATGTGTCGCCAGTACAAAATGAAGTACACCGGATGTGTGCGTGTGTAGCCGTGTGTGTGTGTGCAAAATTATCCGTTAAATTGCTCCAGCCAAAATATCTTGTCAAGCCACTCAGCCGGGCGGGATGCGGAGGTGGTCTGAATGTATTCAAGGGCATACGCCCCAGACAGAGTCTGAGTCTCAGCCAAAGTCTCTCAGTCACCAGTTGACGGATTGCTTGAACCGTACGCGCCCGGAACAGCTTTATTATGTCTTAATTCGTGCTCTGAGCGATTTTAGCATGGATGGCGACAACCATGAAGCACATGCCGGGGCTGAGGCCGAGTTGGAGGCTGACGCTGCCACATTCCTATAGTGGTAGTACAGTGGGTCACCTTTTGACGGGGCGTGTTGTGTTGAACACGCGGAATTGGAAATTTAATTTAATTTTTTTGGGAAAAAATTAATTTCTTTATAATGCGTGGGGTTCGTACATTCTCAATGCTCCCGACCGCATCAGCATGCGCCTCTGCCTTAACTCTGTCTGTTGCCGTTGCCATTGTGGCAACTGCGCCCAGAAATTTATGAAACCACTAGCTGGCTCGCCAGCCTTCTGTCTCGTAGCTCTTCATTAGGTGGTCTCGTTGCTGGCGTACTGTGGGCGCAGTAATCCTTTTGCCAAAACTGTATTTACCGCTAGAACTTGAACGTGCCTTTCCTGACGCTGTCTCCCCTCCGCTGGACCGCATGCCAATCACCGCGGCCACAGCCCGAGATCATCATCAGCCAGTAGGTGTAACCATAAAGTTCGCGCTTGCATGCCGAAGTGAAAGAACGAGTTTGGCTGGCAAGGCTGGTCTGGTGAGACCGACCGGACCAAGACGCAGCAATAACAATTACAAACACTTAACACAGTAACAGCAACAACAGCAAAAACAACAACAACAGCTATGGCAACAGCCGCTTAAGGCTCAAAACGAAACTGTTGACGACCCAACTGACTCAGACTGGAGCGTGGCGTTGCCATGTAGGCGTGTAGGCCAAGCGGCCACAGGCAGGAACTGCCTCTTCTTCTTCTTCTTCTCATCTTTAAGATCTTTGCGTCTCCTACCAGTGAGTAAGTATATGGGCCAGAGCTGGGACGGACCTAAAAGTGGCACAAACTAATGCAGTAAGCACCGACCAGCACAAAGACTCAAAAGAAAGACAGACCATTTGATAGTCAATAAATTAAAACATTAGCTAGTCAGGCGGCAGGCGACAGACGACAGACGACAGGCATTGTCATTAGTTGCGTCACACGCGGCGTATCCGCAATGGCAGAGCAACCACCAAGACGTGTTAAAAATAAACAGTTGTAAAATTGAGCTTAACTAATCCAACATCATGATAAATTATGACTTAAATCGGCTTTTGTTAAATTTCAACTCATCATCAAGCAAGCAGCGAAGGAAAATAGCTAAATGGAAAACACAGAGGTGTCAGCACAGGTTAAATAGTGAAATAACAAAGAGACTGGGGCTTAGGGTGGGGTGGGGACGGGACGGAACGGGACTGGAATGGAATGGACCGGACCGGATCGGACGAAGGACGGGGGCGTGAAGCAAAGAAGTAGCAAGAAGCATAGAAAATTACGTGTGCATATTTAAGAAAAGGTGTCACCAACACACAAACAGAAGACTAAATGGATAAAAATGTTGCTGTTGTGCGGACTACTTGTAGGAGTGAAGAATTTTGTATGCAAAAGCGCTTAACGGCTGGATGGTGTGGCGTCGGGGTGCGGGTGCTCCCTTCTTTTCAGTCGCACATGTGAAACATGATATGGAAAAAGCTATGGTGCAGTTGCTTGACAATGACTCTAAGCTCAGCTGTACACTGAACGAAATTGGGCGACAAGTGCTTGGAGAGCCTGAATATTATGAATAACCCGATATAGGCATTCTTTTCGTAATACTAATTCAAAGCAGCCACATCCAATACTGCCTTTATTTAAAAAATTAAATGCATTACATATGTATATTTGTGATCAACATGATGTCACTTGCCTGTTTACTGAATAGAGCTGAACTAAACAAAGTAATCAAACAAATTAATAGTATTTCCATTTCAGCTTCTCAGAATTTTAAAAATATTTCTGTCAGTGATTTGTTTTGCAACGAGAGACAACGCCTCTACTTAAGTCCACAAATGATGCATTTCCTATGCAATAGAGCCAACTAGACATCATTTAGACTTTTCTCCTTGCCAAGCAAAATCTCTTTCTTTCCACCAATAGAAACATATACATTTTTACGTGCATACGAGTATATAGAAAGGTAAAAGCTGAAGAACAGCAGCACTGCGTCCCGGACCATTGTCTGCTGAATTAAGTGCAAACATTAGCAGCCGCAGCAGCTGATGATGATGAAGATGACACTGGATGGCTGGCATTGCTGATAATACCCCATAGACTTCACACCTAACAGAAAAGCGCAGCACATAGAACGTGATAAAGCTTTTTTCTTGCCTTTGCTGCTTCGGTTGCTGCTTCTGTGCCTGTGTCTGTGTCTGTATCTGTGTCTGTATCTCTATCTCTGTCTGTGTGCAAATGATTATCAATCATTTTGGGATTAAAATTCCTTGTGGTGTTGTCACTCATTAGTTGTTGTTGTTGTTGCTGCTGCTGCTGCTGCTGATGCTCTATGCTTGGCTGGGGCTGGGCTGGGCTGGGGCTGGGGCTGGGTGTGTTGCTGAACTCACATCTACGTGTATAGTATGTTCGGGTGTATGCAGCACGCTGCGCCCGAGATATATCACGTTGTTTTCGATTTTGTTGTCGTCATCAATAAACTTGGTGGTATTTAGCATAAAAAGTCTTTCACTGCAGCGGCCCTGAAGGTGCACACAACAAGTGTGCCTCGGTATGTGTATTGGCGCGGGCATTGCTGTGCGAGTGACATATCTTTGGGCTCCAGGGGCCAAAGCTGAATGCAACAAACAGGGTTAAAGTGTCGCTGTTCCTGCTGCTACTATAGTTGCTATAGCTGGCTGACAATATATTCTTGGTGCTCGCTTGGTGATCTGTTTGCGTTTGCTTTTGTTTTGTTTTCCGAACGATTCTCACGTTTGTTCCCCTGACAAGTGGATTTAGCCGAATTGATGTATGAGTTTACAGATACATAGACAGTTTGACTTTGTATACCCTTCACTGAAAAGTGTAAGGGCTTACAGCATGCTATAGGTAAATACTTGTGTAACATCGGCATGATGGGACGAATCCCAATCGGGATGTCCGTCTATCAGCCTGTATGTTCGAGCCACTACTTCATGCATATTCAATTGGTTTTTAGAAATATATTGTAGACATATATTTAGATAATTACTTGTACAGACTAGTACATATTAAAGTAAAAATTGCTTTCTAATTAAGAGTTGGATGGTACGGACACAATGCGGTATTCATATAGGTCGTTGCATAAAACAATATAGGAGCAATGTTTTTTGTGGGCCACAGTGAAGGGTATTTAGCTTTGGCACAGAACATTACTTCCCAGCTCGCTTTAGTTATAGTTGTTGACTTGGGTTCACGTTTATCATGGTCTGCTCCCTTCTACGGTGTACCGATCGGCTGCACATATTTAAAATTGAGTGATGCTGGTAATAGCCGGCAATTAATATTGTGTGGAGCACACTTTAGTGTTTGAGATGCCAGGCAACGGTAACAGAATAAGGTTGGTTTATTGTTGTTTGCAATAGAGTGAAGCTCTATTTAAATCAGGTCGTACTGGCAAAAATGTTTGTGGAATGAAAGAAGTTAAGCAATACTTCAAATGAATTCAGGAACTCTACAATTTCCAACTTTCGCATTAACTTTTAACCATCTATGAAGAATATTTGGAAGCTGATCAAATGGTTTTAGAATCTAAGGCGCTTGTTATATATTTCGAACATCGTGGGTACATTTATCCGGTTAAACAGCTCCATACTGTTTGGCAATTTAATGTAAGTATTATTCGTGCTCACGTGTCACAACACACATCCGCTATATCCGTGAGAAACAACTCTGATTTTGTCACTAGTCCTCAACATGTAAATACGTTTTACGACTCTTCTAGTGAAGCGTAAAGCGGGCAGGTACAAGCGCTCTAGTTGACATTGCCCGCAGAGATGGTTATCTCAATATTTAGGTTGGCAACGAGGGAAAAAAATAGAACGACCACGCACTTGAAAATAAATCGAGAGATGCGAACGCAAGTTTAACCCTAAAAGCCCCCGCCGCGACACATTTAGGCCCTGTTCGTATGTACAGCAACAACGTTTTTGGATTCTTATGGCTTCAGAGTTTGTTATGTAAGAGGAAAATGGCGCGGAACACAAGCCTTCGAAAACTTCACAACACACACGTGAGCGATCTAAGCGAAATGATAATTGTTTGTGTAGTATGAAGTGTGAATTATAAATGAAAATGGTACCCGATGTACTGGGAACATGTTTTATGCTCGTTTGTCTCAGCTGCAGCTTTTTATGTGGACTACGTGCTGAGCCTTTGTGTGTATTGAATGTGTGTGTGTGTGTGTCTGTTTGGAAAATCAAGCTTTGCATATGCCAATAAATGATTTTAATTACGTTAGTTCACAGTGTCGGTCTATCAAAAGATGCGCAGCGTAGAACAAAGCCTTCGAACATGCCGCCCAGTCTATTGTTGCCTCAACAGATAGATATTCAAACATCATTGAAACGCACAAACAACCTTTTATGGGGGTTTTGCCACCGTTTGGACCGCTTTGTAGAGAAGGAAATGCGCACTCATAAAAAGTGGCGTCGGTCACATAAAATAAACTGAACCGGGCCGGGCCGAGCCGAGCCGAGCCGGCCAAAGTAGTGGTGGAAAGAACAGAAACCTACCGTCTACCAACAAACGAAAAAAAGCAAAACTATGTTTAAATATTGCTCGCTTAGTTGAATTCCATATAATTCGTGGCCGATACCGAGAGCAGCGACCGGCAGAGCATCGTAAAAAGTGCGAACTGTAAATCATGACAGTTTTTACAACCCGTCGTACTGCACTTTTCCCTTTTCCATTTTTTGGCCAGTTTTATGTACTCGTTCATGTGTTCACAAGTTTCTGTGTGTGGCACAGTGATGACTTCAACTTTTTACCTGTTGACTATTACTTATATTAGTTTTTGGGCCAGAAATGACGCGCAGCCCGTCATGCTTGTGGCTTTCGCTACGGAAATGTAGTTTTATAAGTATAGCCCAGACAAAGAATTTGTATTTATTAGCTGGTGGTTCGCAACTACTTCGAAGAAATTAAAGTCTCTCGAATTAGAAAACATATAATTAGGTCGTACAAATCGCAGATAAAACCCAAACACCCTATGAATTCAACTGTTACTGGTAATAAAAACTCATCTACTGCAGACGACGAAAACTAAACTCGCTGTATTAATATCAATAAGTCCCCGGACTGGAAAGTCGGTTGGCACCCCATACAAATATTTGCTGTTCAATTACAGCCTAGTACCCATGACAATTTTGCTAAGCAAGGCATTGCAATTGATTAGATACGTTTTAGGGTAGCAAAACATATTGATTAGGAAGCTATCAGAGCGGCTAAGTGCTTTGGTAACACAATGTTACGGGTACACTACAATGCAATCCAGTTGAAGCTGGCCAATCGCCGCATTGGGTACGGATATGACACCATCCAGGTATAACCTATCTTTCATGATTCGTAAGTTAACGCTGACAACAAGCCTTAGATCAGAATCTCAAAGTAATCCTGACATTTGACTCAGAGCTGCTGTTACCACTTCTTAATGTGCAGGGGATGGAGAGCGCAACCACAACAATCCCTTCAGCTGCATCGAAGATATCTTTGAAGAGCACGTTGCCCCTACTCCTGAGCCACGCAGTGGCCAATGAACAACCAGTGGCGGTGCTGGAGATCTTTGGAAATAATGAGAAGAGTTCACATCGTGGCTATCCTGTCGCAGTGTTAAAAATTTTCAACAACGATGTCGTAGGCAATTATTTAAACAGTCTGCGACCCAAAGCTGTTGTGGGTCCTAGAAGCGGAGCAGTACCGCTTACCCTAGACATGCAAGGAATGCGCCTGCAGCTGCGTCCATCTGGTAGCGGTGCGGGTGGAGGAAGCCTCCTGCACTGACCTTAAGGGTTAATGGATCAGCACCAACAAAAACAACGATTTATATGTACAAGAATGTTTATCTGAAAAGCTTCATGATGCATTTTATGTTAAGTTGTAGCCCTAATTTTAGAAACAGAATGTTCTATTATGATTCTTGAGCTACCAATATTTTTGGGTATCTGTATTGCATGCTATAGCCAAGATTTGCTTTCCAAGAAATAAAACAACAACGTCATAATGTGTATTGTAAATATCCACTGGCAACTACTATTATTGCTTCGCCAAAAGAAAGACGAGATCGAATTAATCGCGTACGAAGAGGCTGAACTGCGGGGGCGGCCACACTTCTAGACTAGAATTTGACGAACGGCCGCCCTACCGCTGCAGCTGCATTTACAGATCAGCCGCTGCAATGAGAGCGAGAGCGTTGCCAAATTACAATGTTAATTGGAGCAAGAGAGCGCCGCCCAAGCAGCCGAATAACATGATGTTATGTTACAGAGGTTTTATGCAAACGGCAAACAATAATACAAGTATGTTATGAGTTTACGATACAAGTTTAAAGCAAATGTTAATTCAATGACCGAACAATGACTTTTCAAACAATTATTGTTTATAGCCTAACTATTGTAATAAGTAGTTAATGGAATCAATAGTTGGATAGTATATTATTTAGAGCAGGCGAGCCTGATCGCAAACCATTTTAGAAATGCTGGAATGAGGAAAGTGTTACCTTTGCTTACGAGTGAGAAATGCAGAGGTGTGCCTGAGTCACGGGTGCAACAGTTTTGTGCGCTCACAATACCTGAAATGACCCGTTATGCATTCTCGTATATACATACATACAAGTATGTACATACGCAGTAAAGTGCGCTGCTGTCTTTGTTCATCTGCGGCCGCTTTAAAGCAAAGTATGACAAAGTAGGCAACATTAACGCGTTGTACGCTCCTAACCGGAGTGACAGCCGCAGTGGAATCAAAAGACATGTAGAAAGCACGAAAAAATTATGACAATTTCATTCGAAGAGCTACTTTGTCAATGTCAAAATGAAGAACGAGTCAAGCCCCGTCGCCTGGGTTTTGTCTTCTGGCCCTTTGTTTGGACCGACATGCCGCGTCTTGTTGGACAGCACGTTCGGTGTAAGATCTTTTGTGCTTTTTCGAGACGTAGTGCAAAACCCTAGTCCGCTCAAATGGCCAAAAGCCATTGAAGCCTACTCTACGTGCTGGCAATCTCTAATTGCTCGCTTCTGGGAATGGCTACGAGTAAGTTGTAATAGTTGTAGCTGGAGCATCGTAAAACATAAAACACACTGAAATTTACATGCTACATGAGAGCGGCCCAAACTTAGTCCGTAATGTCTGATACAGTTCCCAATGACCCTCTCCCATTATACGCTTCATGTAATTAATAGGACTTTCGATGTCTTTTTTAAGCCCTCGCAGATGCAATGATCGACAAAACGAAAGTAAACAAAAGCAAATAAAATTGAAGCATACACTTACACATTGCTCCTAAGGCGACCAGAAATACGTAAACTTGTACGAGTATAAGCGACAATGAGGTGCGAGTCCCGAGCCACTAAACAAAGCAAAGTTGTCCATTTGTTTTGTTGCCGTCTGGTTACTTTTGGAAATTGGTAACGGCTTAAGACGCTCTATAGCGCAGCACCACTGCTAACCACACATTTGCAGTCATGTGACTATCAAACTGTCAAAATTATGACATTTGAAGTTATACTCAACAAAAAAGGAAGGCGAGATCTGACAAAAACCAAGTCAAAGCCGAGCCGTTGTACTGCGAGTGTCAAAAATCAAGCGCAGTGTTTGGCTAAAAATTTGAATTAAGTCCAAAATCCAAAACTGTGCATGTACTCTTACTCGCACAGATGATGTCAGTTTGTGTACAAAAACAACAACTCTTGTTGAGCCAACAATATAAACAATCACCAGTGGAACCGCAATTTGGTTGATTTCCGAATTATGCTGCTTTGGAGTCAGAGGCGGCATCGCAATCGGACTTGAAGTTGAAACACGCGTCCAATAACTTTCGAATCGAGAGCATATTTCATTTTATTATTATATACATATGTATGCCGGGTATATAGATTATTCATTGACATTTCTTTATGTACAGTTCAAGAATGTATTGAAAAGTGAAAAAAGCACATGCGGCATGATTTTTGCTTGTAGGCAAAATAACCCAAGGCCCGATGAAAGAGAACGAAAATAAATTTGAGAACAGGTTTATGTGGCGTCAAAACATTTTGAATACCCTTTAGTATGTCTACTGTTGTTGGTGTGTAAGTTTGTAACATCCAGAAGGAAAAATGGTATACATCGGTACATACAATATATGATCAGCTAACGCGACCGCTCTAAATTTGTATACAAACAATATGACAAAAAGAGATGTTGTATGGACAATTTTTTGGAATATATATGTTGTCATACTTGATGCCTTGCACCATCGGGGCGTTGCGAAAGTTGACCACGATTTATATACTTTCGCGGCGCATGACCATGGAGGAATCAGTTTTTGGTCTAAGGTGCCGTGGGAGATACGTAGCTTTCACTTCAATGACAATAACTGCTTTGATATTTCAAGAAATTACTTTATTAAGTCGCAGCATATTTTAGAAATAAATTAATGGCAGAAATTCCAAAATTAAACAAGAGCTAAATTCCATCGCCTGATGTCGTTTCTAATCCATTTTAGAACGGCGGGTACTAATACATTTATTTGCAGAGCAGTCGTGAAATATTTGAGGGAAATTTTCCTTTCATTCCATTTACTGAACTGAGGGGAAAAATAATTAACATCTTTTCATTTACGTTTAAAAGAAACTAAACGAAATGAGGAGTTTTTATTGTATTGTATAATTTTATTAGGTTCCTTCTCCTTATTAGTTCTTACAGGCTTCGCTTTAAAGTAACGTATTTTATTGTCGACTTAGTCTGGTTTCGGCGCTGATGTAGCCACTTTTGAAATGTGATATTATTCGGTTTTCAAGCATTGCGCGTGCTTTTTGTCTCCTTTGAAAATCGATGCGAAAAAGCTGTTAACTAGGCACAAGCACTTCACTTTCAGCGTCTTTCTGCCGCGTTAGCTAGTCGGCCATATCGCTTACTGCTGACGGCGCACTTTTGGGAGAAAGGTGCCTCGAATTGGTTTTTTGTGAGAAGCTTATTGAATTGATTTATTTGTTGTACGAAATTTGCATATAAGTGCAAAATAATTGATTAGAAAGTGGGTGCGTAGTGAGAATCGGCAAGCTATATAACGTATTTGACTTTGCCATACTTTCGCTGATGACAGTGGCTGATTCCCAGAGGCTGCAAATGTTGAAGCTTTTCCTCCGCGGTCATTAAAAATGTGCCTATTTCCCAAGAATCTCGGCATACATAGCACTCAGCAAATTGTTTTTGAAGTGCAGCCGGCCCAAGGCGAAATGAAAATTATAAATGAAACAAAAAGCGGAAAAGGCCGCCGCCTGGGCCGCCAAACAGCCAGACAACCAGACAGCCAAACCAGCAATCGTACAGCTGTCAAGCACTCGAAATAATTTTCGTAGAAATGTTTCAAAAAGCAAACTTTTTCACTTTATGCCATGCAAAGTTCTTTTGTTGAAGGCCAGGAAAATGTGTGGCCCACGAGTAGGCCAGTTTTCGACACTTCGAAGTGTGAACGACACCGGTGTGCGGGGCTCAGGCTGGGGCTATGGACGCATTGGCCCCGACTGCGGCTGCGGCTGTCAGCCAGCCAGTCTGGGACATGCGCAAGTCTCAGCCTCAACTAGTTGTTGCAGACAGCAACAATTTGTTTTCCCACTTACACTTTGACCTTTTTCAACCGACTCTGGGCATAATTTGGGCAACAGTATGCTGGGCAGGGCAGAGAGGAAGCGTAAACCTTGTCACTCGGTTTTCTTTTGAAAAGCGTCAGCGATGGGTTTGGTAAAATGTTGAAGTGGTTTGTCAGCAATATTTCAAACAAAGCGTCGGCGACTGCAACATTTTTGTGACTTCAGAGAAGAAATAAAGGAAAACTTGTACGAGTACGGAGTTATTAAACATAGTCCCCAACTCCTCTTTTCAGCCAGGTTTGCTTTACTTCTTTTTGAATACGAGTAATAGGAACGATAGCAACGTCGCCACATAGGAACGATATTTGTATATTTTATCATTTCCAAAGCAATAGAAACTAAGGTACATAATTGAGTTAAATAATTGTTATACTCTGTGCATAAAATATTCAATAGTATACCAGGTTTGCGGTGAAGGTGCAAAATGTTACAGGCAGAAGGAGGCGTGGCAGACCCCACAAAGTATATAGTATATTCTTGATCAGAATGAAAAGACGAGTCGATCTCGTTGGTCTGTCTGTCTGTCCGTCTGTCCGTATGAACACCTGGATCTCAGAGACTATAAGAGCTAGAGACACAAAATTTTGCACCAAAATACCTTATTTGTGTACGCTGTGCAAGTTTCTTTTACATTTTGTTGCATGCCCCACTTCCCCTCTATTGGAGATTTTCGACAACGCCATTCATATAATCATCTCCAAATTTATTATTATTTCAAAGTATTTCAAAGTCGGAACCCCCGACTTTAGCCTCTCCATTTGTTTTACCAACAGATACTGGCCTACGTTTAAGTATTCTATACATTAAGCTAACTGGCGAAGTTTCTAAGGGGGAAGTATTCAAGGCTGGTCGACTTAGCTTAAAAAAAATGCATTTTCATTTCCAATACAGGCCCATTCTATTACAATAATAAAAAAAATACACTTAAATTATAATACTTACACGCAGATTAAAATATTTTTACCATCGAGAAACTTTTCTGCCATTATTAAAAATATTTCCATTTTGCACTATTTTTGAGAGTATAGATCAATATCAAAAGTTATTTAATACATTTAATTGGCACATAGTTATCACTTTGTGATATTTAAGTCACACAACTGCTGAACCCGGCTTGGGGACTCTAATAATTCTTGCTTATGTATTCTATTATGTATGTATTAAAATTTAATATGGAATAAAGTAAATTTTATTATTTGTTATTTGAAAGGGTGCATATTACAATATAACATGGTTAAGATACACTTTGTTTTGAATATTATTTATATTTTAATAAGTAATTAAACATGTTCATAATTAAATTGACGTTGATAGTATTTGATTTATTGGAACATTGAATTGAAAAAGTATTCATTTGTCCTATGCAATCTTTTTCAGTGTATGTTTA